AAATGGCGGCTCCCCGCTTATGCAAATGAAGCCCGGGAAATTCAAATCCCGGGCTTCATTTGCAAGTGCGGTATGCCTACATTACCCTGCTAGTTCGAACTAGGAGGGTAGTGTAGACATACCCTCTGAGGCATCGATCCTCATCCCCAAAGGAAACCTGCACACTTTCCAAAGACAAGCCGGGGAGCTTAAAATCATTACTTTACCTCCTCTGGGAGGTATCCACTGGCTCCATCAACAGCATTGAGGAGCAGCGGGCGCTGTCTGGGGTTCTCTGCTCGGTGTCCCCGTCCGGCTCCCTTGTTTTAAACCTGTGACCCGCACTCCTGACTGTGTTTTTCATTATTTGTCCCCCAGAATCAGTTGATCCCTAGATCCAGTCATCCCTCCCGCAAGGCTGGGGGAGGGGCTTTTAGGGGCTGACACTGGCCCAGCCCTGGAGTTTCAAATAGTCACCACTACAGAGGAGGGTGTGGCTGCTGCTGCTCCTGATTCTCTCCCCCTTGTTCCTGCTGCTGCTGTGACTCTCACCTCCCCTGCGGCCACCTGCTTGTCTGCCTGTGGAGGCCCCTGATGGACCTGTACCCCTGAGGACTGCTGCTGCTTACCATCACCACTGCTGCCATCTGGGGTGGGCCTGCCAGCCTGCCCCCCCTCCAGAGGGAGGGTGCAGGAGACACACACCCCCGGTTGCCACTCACCCGCTGCTGCTATGTCACCATCACCAGCCCCTCGAGGAGGAAGAAGAAGAGCAGCCACTGCCTGGACTTGTGGAGGGGGGTTGCTTGGACTGAGCTTTGGACAGCTGTGCTCCTGGGGTGGTGGTGAACTGAGTTGCTGCAAGGGGGATCAGGGGAGAGGTGTTGAGCCCTCCCCCTAGTCTAGCCACCCCCCACTTCCTACTGTCACCACCCCCACCACCAACCTGTTAAACCTGGACTTTTACTTCGCCCCTCGGCGGAGCTGCTGCCTCGCCCAAAACTCTACCCAGGACTGTTTCTCTGCAGCAGCAGGCAAGGACTGAGCCCCCACAAATGCTCGTGGATGCACTCCCCTCCCCAACTCCCTTTGACTTGGCCCCCCTCCTTCAGCAACATTTGGCTGGGGGACCCCCCTTTACCTCTGCTCACCCACCCTTGCCCCCCCCACTACAGTAGCTTGCCTCCTTCCCTGCTGTCTGCCCCACTCTGCTAGCCCAGCTTGTTTCTCCTTCCCTCCCTGAGAGTTAGTTTGCTCACTTGCCCCACTCAGCCCCAGAAAGTTTGATTGTTTGTTTGCCTGCACTGCCCAACCTCCACACAGCTCCTTTGCCTGCCTCGTCCCTACCCTAGTCAGCCTTCTGAGGTGTTTGCTATGCCCTTCCAGTAACTGTTTTCCCTTGCCTTGTCCTCTGCTCTATCTCAGCATCTTTCTATCCGCCACACTTCCTTCTGCACCGTTACGGAGAACATCTGGGAGGGGCCAGGCTCAGGGTGTTGAGCTGGTGCCAAGGCATGGACAGGACCAGTTGGTTCGGCACCAGCAGTCCTGTCCATCTCTGCAGCCGTTCACCCATCCTGGCCTCCAAACCCTGCCAGTTCTCTGGCAGAGAATGAGAAAAAGGGCCGGAGGGCTTGCAGTGAGGGGGCGTAGGGTATCCCCTCTAGCAGGGCTTGCATGGGGCTCTCCACACCCAAGCCCCCCTGCATGTACTCCAGGAGATGAAGGCAGCTTTGTTGCAACCCGCTCTTGATTCTCTGGGTCTGAACACAAGGAGGGGATAGGCCAACCAGCCCCCGGGAACACAGACCATTGGAGCCAACCTCATCGGGCAGCATGGATGGACTGAGGAACCCAGCTGCTCCTACCTGGCTGAACCATTTGGATCTTGGACCCAGCTTTTCCTGCAGCCATTTGGGGCACCTACAGTGAGACTGTCCTGATATGGACTGTAACTTGGGGGGGATGTGCACCGCGGAGTCTCGGACCTGCTGACCGGGGTCACCTAAGCTGACAGAGCCTATGAAAATGGGGCCATGAGAGGTGGTTTCTCTTTTAGACTCCGTCTGTGAACAAACCTTTATCCACAAGGACATCTTATTAGTCTTTAAAGTGTCACATAGTTTTCCCTTTTGTTTTATCTTTCCCTCAGTAGTGGCTGATGAGTTACAGCTCCAGTGCATTCCCAGGGATGTCAAAGTCTATCCATGGACCTGAGTGGCTCTGACCATAAATGGAGTTATTGAGGAAATGGATAACCCCATCATTCTTGATCAAGACTGCCAAGGTTTACTGACTTAATCCGTGGAATAGGTCACTGGTCCCCAGCCGCACAGAACACCCCTGCAAACAGTCGGGCTGGCCACAGACCATTGGCTGTCTAGGGCGTGGGGCTCACCGCAGAAGGGGAAAAGGAAGCAGAGGGAATGGAAGGACATGAGGGTTTGAGCCAACCTAGTTGTTCCTCTGGGGAGAACTTGAGGCCTTCTCGCTTGGTGGACTTTCCACAGAACCAGCGAGAGGACCCGTCATTACTGTTTGCCTACAACTGTGTGGCCTGCATCAACAGGGCTGTCACCGATTCACAGACAGCCAAGCAGTGGCCCCATTTTGAGATGGTGTCTGACAGTGTATCATATGGACTGGGACCCACAGACCCGAGAAGTCCAGTCCCAATTAGTCATCCCTCACTGCCACCGGAGAGCTGTTCTGAGACTTGCACATGACATTCCCACCACCAGACACCTGGGCCAAGACAAAACTCTGGCATGGGTCCTGTCCTGGTTTTTCTGGCCAGGTGTTTACCATTATGTAAAAGACTACTGCCAGTAATGTCCTGAATGCCAGTTAGCTGCTAACCGCCGGGTTCCACGGACCCCCGGTACCTATGCCAGTAGTCGGTATCCCATTTGAACGCATGGCAATGGACCCGGTAGGCCCGCTCCAGAGGAGCGAAGCGTGGTTCAAATACATCTGGGTCTTGGTAGACTATGCAACCCGCTTCCCGGAGGCTATCCTGCTGCGGAGTACCATGGCCCATTCTATTGCCTCCGAACTGGCGAAGGTCTTTGCCAGGGTAGGCCTTCCCCAGGAGTTGCTCATGGATCAAGGGACTAATTTTACTGCCTGGTTGCTTCAGCAGGTCTGTGCACTCCTGGGCATCCACAAGCTCCAGACTTCAGTATACCACCCGCAGACGGCATAATATAGTGTTTTAATCAAACTCTAAAGGGGATGTTGCGGAAATTTCCCCCAGCCGAACTGCAGCAGTGGGACCAATTGCTTTCTCCTTTGTTATTAGACATCTGGGAGGTGCCACAGTCGTCAATTCAGTTCCCCCCTTTGAACTTCTCTATGGTTGCGAACCTCGGGGGGTGCTGAACTTAATGAGCGAGACCTGGAAAGTACCCCATCACTTTCTCAGGGGCTCCTCCAATATGTTTTCCAATTACAGGAGCAACTTGACAGGGTAAGGATTTTAGCCCGTATGAACCTCCAGGTGGCTCAAGCAAACCAAGGGTGATATTATAACCAGGAAGCCCAAGAGAGGACTTTTGATCCAGGGGACTGAGTACCTATTCCCCTCCCCTCTGAGGAATCTAAACTTCTTGCTTGGTGGCAGGGTCCCTATGAGATCACACAGCAAGTAGGCCCAGTGATGGATGAAGTACACCAGCCAGACCAGAAAAAGAAAAAGCAGTCAGAGTTACATCAGATCCTATTCCTAGCTGGATATTATTGGTGCTTTGTTCCCCGATTTGCAGCCATTGCCTGAAACCTCTTCAAGAGACTATATGGAAGTCTGTGTTGGGAGATACCTTGTAAAATCTGTTTCTGCACCTGAGCAGGTTGACAATACCTGATTTTATATGATACAGAGCACTATAAACCCATGTGACTAAAGGCAAGCCTTTAAGCACTGTTATTACCAGATGCACCATAACTTCTGCTAGAATTCTGATTGGCCAATTTCTTAAACTCCATTAGCTCAGCATGATCCTTTTCATATGTTCTCTTCAAATTCTCCACATACTGCATCATTACTTCTGTGGCCTTTGACATACGTTTCTCCTAAAATGAGAAACAGACAAAGGTAAATTCTGGATTAATGAAACAAATAATTCATCTCTATGTGTATGTCTACACTACCACCCTAGTTCGAACTAGGTTGGTTAATGTAGTCATACAGAGTTGCAAATGAAGCCCGGGATTTGAATTTCCTGGGCTTCATTTGCATAAAGCGGGGCGCCGCCATTTTTAAATGTCTGCTAGTGCGGACTCCGTGCTGCGCGGCTACATGCGGCACGGACTAGGTAGTTCGGACTAGGCTTCCTAGTCCGAACTACTGTTAAACGAGGTTTACTACCGTGAAACGAGGAGTAACGGTACGGAGTTCGCACTAGCGGACATTTAAAAATGGCGGCGCCCGGCTTTATGCAAATGAAGCCCGGGAAATTCAAATCCCAGGCTTCATTTGCAACTCCTTATGACTACATTAACCACCCTAGTTCGAACTAGGGTAGTAGTGTAGACATACCCCATGTGAGATGTTAACTTTTTCTGTAAAGATCTAAAATGTGACTGTTAACGTATCAAAATCAAGGGCCACACTGGAATTGTTAATAGTCTTACCTGACGAACCGCTCCAACCATTTCAGCACGACTGGAGAGTCTCGCAGCCAAGCGATGCAGTACAGCAATATCCTCCAGCAGCTTCTGGCAAGTTTCTCTATGTTCATAGTGATGCCATAAGGCAGCTGAAGACTGAATTGAAAACAATGCACCAAAACATCAAAGCACAGACTAAGCGCTTTAGAGGCAAATATTCAGAGGATGCACATTTGAAGTGCCATTCCCATTGAAGTCAACGGAAGTCTCACTGGTAAAGACAAATCTGTTTCCAAAACTCAAAGAATACTTAAACTTGCCAGTCTAGTAGCTGTTCAAGTCTCTTCAGCTTTTCTAATTTCCATGATAGATTCACATTTTGATAAGCTATCAACCCTAAACTTTTCAAGAACTCCGAAAGAGCAATACCAAGCAGCATGACTTTCTCTAGTATTGCCTGCAAAAGCCAGAAAACAATCCTAAGGATTGGTGAGAAATGAATCAGAAATATTTGTATATACTAACTCAAAACACTTTGGTAATTTATGCTCCAATTCAGGAATGCACATAAGTACATGACTTCAATGGGATTACTCACATAGTTAAATGTTAAGCATGTATTCATGTGCTTTGCTGAATCAGGGCCTTAGTAAAAAAACTCTTTTTCTTAATAGTGATTGTTGTTCTCTGTAATATAACAGAATAGCCCAAATCCTTCACACTTTGGGGTAGTTCAAATATTGGATTTATTTCCATGTTTTATAGCACGTTTCAATATCAAAGGTCTGCCGTAATTTCAGAAGGGACTTCTAAATCAGAAATAAACCTGGATATCTGTGATTCAGATTTTATTCATAGTTTTTGTTTGCTTGTATATTTATACCTGAAAGAAAAACCTACAGATGTTATTAATATTACATCTACACTATTGCTAACCCCAAACATAAAAAAACAATGGTCCTGTAGCACTTTAAAGACTAACAAAAATATATAAATAACATCATGAATTTTTGTGGGCACAATCCACTTCAAATGACACATAAGAAGTGGGTTGTACCCACAAAAACTCATGATACTATTTATATATTTTTGTTAGTCTCTAAGGGTATGTCTACACTACAATGTTAGTTCGAACTAACGGACGTTAGTTCGAACTAACATTCATAGCCGCTACACT